AGAAACACGATCCGCTTCTAACAATGGTCGCGGCCAGACTAACCGATGCACGTGAATGAAACTTTGTGTGACGGTAGAGGGAAGTCCAAGGGTCAATGCCCTACCCTCCTCTTCGTCAATGACGTGGCCGGAAATGAGTCATAAAAGTAATCCGGGTTCTTTATTGCCACACCTTGTATATATATATGTCTTATTCCACCAACTAACATGGTTGTGCCAGTTAAAAACATAATTTGTCCCTTTGGTCAAGCACCATTCCATGAAGGAATATCAAGCAAAAATAGAACTCCATCTTAGCGTGACATGCAACTGATCAATCGGCTTCTCATACCATGGAACAGTGAACAGTTTCAAACTACCAAATTTTACCGGTGTTTCTTACCCTCCAATTTTAAGAGTAATGTGAGTAATGGATTGCATATACATAGTACTTGGTAAGTTTTCATATAGAACATTAATTCTGCACATAAACGTTCACTTCATGTCTCTGTATTTAGATAATTTAGGGATACATGAACTTTTCAAATTTTAGTGCTATAATATGTCGAACAGAAGATCTGACGGCTTCATGATGATGCTGAGCTTTGGTTTTCTGGGTTGCAGCACTATGTAGACATGTAGTTGGATCTCAGTGTTACAGAGGAAGATGCTACCTCCATCTTCAGGGTCAAAATGAGCTGAGGAAGGTGCAGTTAAATTATATAGCATTATATAACTTCAAGTGTGTTAATTTACATACACATCCTCCCACTTCTCACTTCAACCCTGAAGATGGAGGCAGTATGTTCATCTGAAATGTTGATAGCCAACTATAGCACTACAGGATGTCAGAAACTAGAACATCACAGTCTGAATTCAAACGTCATTAAGCAACTGGACAGGTTTTAGTCAGTGGCTGGTCTGTATGGAAGAATCTGTGGCTTCTGTCATGATTCTGTATTTCAGCATCCTGTTGCACATCTTTAATTAAACGCCCATGTATTAAGTCCATCAATAATGCAACAATCATTAAATTATTCACCATTTAACACTAACACAACATGTTTTTAAGTGGACTGCAATGCGCAATTTTAGTGCACATCAAAGCAGTGTTAACAGTTTGGATGCATTGAAACACCTGAGAATGGCCATGTGTGGCTGAAACATGTTGTGTTAGTGTTAAATGGTGAATATTTTAATGATTTTTGCATTATTGATGTACTTAATACATAGACGTTTAATTCCATCATGATATTTTCCATACATTGCTTATGTCATACCTGCAGACATTAATTGTGTAAACAGATAAAATTTGTAACAATAAATTTCGAGAAATGGTGTGACTGCAAATGTCATACCACCTTCATTATTTACGACTGTTTCATAAGGGTGCAGATAGCTTTACTTTCCTTTTTACTTTTACTTAAGGGGAGATGGGAAATTGCCAGGATGTGGTGCACACATATCCCTCTGTTCTACTACCCAACAAAAGCCAGAGAGTTCCTGAGAGTAAGTCTACTGAAAGTACTGGTTATTGGCATCTGTTGAATGAATTTCTGCTACACTGCACCAAAATGCTGTCCTCAGCAAGAAGCATGGGACGCAATGCCTATAGGAACTCATGTAGGCAGTACAGTTATGTTAGGCAAAGCTCAGGTGACTAGTAACCAACTTCTCATTGTGTCAGCCTGAGTGCCATCCAAGTGTCCCAATATCAATCTCTGGTGGGCAAAATGGTTCTGGGGTAGGCTTCATCTAAGTATTTTTGTTTTCACTGCCAATTTTCATCCAACCATATGCTCCATATCCCTTGTATGTCATCTGGGACTGGTACAATGGGCCATTTGTGGCTTAAGTCTATCTCACTCCATCCTAAACTTTACATATATATTTGGAAATCGTAAACTTGAAATTCCATATGAGATTTGAAGTTCTCGCAGCAGAGATTATTAGATTCTTTTCTTGGGCATGAGGCCATATAGTCTGGGTAGACTGTTACTAACATCTCTGTGGAATCCTCTGTCTCCATCTTCAAGAAAATTCGAGGGTCAAAAAGATTTTTATATTTATAGGAAGATGAAGGGGGGAATGCAGTAACATAGTTGGTTGACACAAATATGCTATAAGCCAGAAGGTCACAGGTTCAAATCTTCATGAATTGAGTGGATTTTTTCAATTTACCTAATCCTTCCAGCCACACTATGGCCCTGAGAACAACTGAGCCTCTAACAGAAATGAGTACCAGGAACCATCCTGAGGTGTAAAGAGTGGCTGGCGCGTAAGGCTGGCAACCTCACCACCATCTGTGAGCTGGCTGTCTAGAAAATGTGGGGACCTCGATGTCTCACAACCTATAGACCTCCATGGCCTGTCACAGGATAGCTTTACCTCTCTTTTTGCCTTTATAGGAAGATGGACTGGAAACGTTACGTGTGTACAATTTCTTGCATGCACAATATGTTTTTGGGAAATAGGAACTGAATTTATGAATATTATTTAGATGGACCCCATGCTGGATCCCAATCTCAAACAGCCATGTACTCATTGCTAGCAGAGAACCTTTTCTATGCAAGTCCTCTTAATATCTATTTGCTCTACTCATGCAGAGCCCGAGATCTTCATTCTGTGCTAGGCCAGAGCTGAGCACTGATGAAGCACGTGGTGGGAGGCCTCCTCCTCCTGCCTACATTTCCTGCACAAAGTGTCAATAATGTAGGTAGCTGCAGAGTGTTATTTCATAAGAGAAACATGCTCATGTCAAAATGTTGAACTGAACAAAACTGAAAGTAGCATTATTAAATGTCGTTTTAAATGGTTGCTTATGTACATACAGATGTGTGTGTATGTGTGCCAGCTCAGTAGCCCATCTGTGTTCATAGTTATATTTTACTTCATCAGTGCCGTGAATATGTCGTAACTTGAACACTGATAAATGGCTAATATGTTTATCAAGAAAGATGTCAAAACTGCCATAGGGATTTATGGCCATATGTTCAACATGAATGAGAAGTTTCTGCCTCGTTAGTGCCAGTCAAAATTCTGGGACAGTCGTATGTCAAATAAGGAAGGAAATCCATTAACATAACCTCATTTCTGGGCATCTTGGTCGAAGGTTATGACAAGGAAATTTGTGACAGTAGTGGTGAAACATTACCTCCAAATCCTAGTTTAGGATGAAGGTCTGTAAACTTTTGTATGTACAGTTCCAAGCATTATTCATAAAATAAAAACTATGTTGATGTCTAAATCACATAGTGAACTCAAAATACTAACCTCAGAAGAGTCAACACTTTCAAAGTTCGAACAAAAATTTGGATTCTAAAACAGAATATGAATGGTTTCTTTCCCACAGCACTGGCAGGTGTAGAAGCCTGGGATCTGAGGTTCTTGCAGTGATCCTGTGTAGGAGTCCCAAGACCATGACACTTTTGTTTCTAGAATTCGTGGCCTGTAGTCTGCAAGTGAACTATACCGACCGAGCGACCACCGCTTGTCGACGAAGTTGGTGCAAACTTTTGCGGATAGAAGGTGTCACGTGGTCGGCACAGTGGATCCCCACGGCCGTTAATCTCGGTTTTCTAGACCAGAGCCGCTATTTCCTTGAAATTGCTCCTCAGTTATGCCTCACAAGGCTGAGTGGACCCCGTTCCAGACCCACTACTTCTCAGAAAAAAAATCGGTAGTGCCGGGAATCGAACCCAGGACCTCTTGATCTGTAGACAGGAACTCTGACCACTCTTTTCTTGACATTTGTCAAAATTATAGCTCACTTGTTCTGCAATTATGATTTAAAGTGATTTGAGTTTATGAAAGGCATGTGTGATGCATTTGTTCACAGTTATGTAACTATGTGAAGTGAAACATATGTTTTAGTTTTCAGATTTAATCTTCTGGCTTGTAACACACTGTAATATTGTAGGTGGATAAAGAAAGTTTCAGGAGAATGCCCTCCCTGCGTCTTCAAGGTAGAAGATGTGAGATTGTTACCAAACAAACATTAATATTGCCATGACTGGAAATGACTTTTCATAAATAGTTCAATAGAAAATCTGAAGGGAATTACCAACACATACTAAAAAGACATAATTAGTTTGTATGTTCAAGAATTCATTGCTACATATGTTGTTTTAGGAATGGTAGTTATGAAGTCTTAAGGAACTACAAAGGGCTCCCTCAAAATAGATTATGTCTACCTGCATTTACACTCACTTCCAGCCCCAAATACCTACACATGCATACAAATGCCCAAAATTAAAATTACTTTAAATAGAATGTTAGTGCTATCTGTAAAAATGTCCATAACCAGCTTAAACTTGAGTGTGTAAACAAATCTTGCTGCTTTTCCTTTGGACAAAATTCTGATGGCGCCCAAGGACGTCTAGTGAGGTATGTGGGTACCAATGCTGGAACGTCCTGCCTCCATCTTCAAGAATTATTGGTGGGTAAGTTCTTTTGACTTGTATTCAGATGCCTGGCTCGAGTCTGATGGGTTTCATGATTTCTCTCAGCCCCTCCAAGCAATCATGAATTATCCCATCATTGACAGCATATATTCTGAGTTACTATGTTAAATAATCAGTAAATCCGTAGTTACATTAATTGTATGTAATTCTAATTTCAAATGTGACGCGTTATGTTATCGATTAGCAGCATGTGAAATCGAACATCGACTCGAACGAGTCGAGTTCAAAGCAGAGGTAAATGAATAGAAAAAAACATGGCTCCAGTAAACGAAGAGGTGAGTGAAGTTGAGAAGGATATTTTTGCGAAAATTGCAAATAATGATGTAAATGGGCTGAAAAATACCCTCCTACAACAGAAGATGAAGGTGGATATCTATGATGAAAATGGAATGACACCACTACAACATGCAGCCTACAAGGGAAATAAGGAAATTGTACAGATGCTGTTGGACCAGGTAAGTGTTACGGCAAACTGTACTAGGCAGTATTTATCAGTGAGAATGACAGTGGATTAGACAGTTTAATAAGTTTAATTAAGTGTACGGAGTTATAGGAATATTGGAAGATGTCAGAGTGTGAAACAGCATTTTAAGAACCAATATGATGTTGGAGCTTGTAAATCAATTGAAAACATTTGCATTGCTTTATTTTACACAGAGCATATTACTGCTACCTTCATGTTCATTCGAAGCGTTAATACCCATTTACCGGACTACACGTTGTTATTACCCGGAAGACCAAAATATGAATCTTCACTTCCATGAAGTATAAAATCTCATACCCATTTTTTCCTTCTCTCAGTTTCAGCCTTACAGTAGTAGTGGTAGTAGTAGAGAGTTTCCTGTTTTGTGACAATCTTTGTTACACCTGATTTCTGCCTGATTAGAGGGTATTACTTCTTGTATCTTGTGCCAGTTGTTTCCATTATGCACCAATGCATTGTAACTGTGTTTGAAGACAAAGTTCACAGGGCGGTCAGCTGGATTGATTTAGAATTGTATGCCTATGTATTTCAGGGCGCAGATGTTAATTCAGGAAAGCATGAATATGGATATACAGCATTGCATTTTGCGGCACTTTCAGGAAATTCTGAGTTGTGTCATCTTTTACTTATGGCAGGTGCTAAAAGTCAGACAACGAACTCAGTTGGCCGCACTGCTTCTCAGATGGCAGCGTTTGTAGGTAAGGATGTTACCTTACGTAGAAAACATGCTTAATATAAGATTTAAATGTAGATGATAAAGAATCTGTTATCAGGGTTTGTTGTTATAGATTTATTGTTATAAATTTGCCTGTAAAGGATAACATGTATTTGATTAGAAGTTAAGAATGTAAGTTCCTTAATATTTATCATAACAAAACAGGAAATTTGCAATATCAAGGTTCTGTGGAGCAGGAGCCTGTGTTTTAATTTGAAGGTAAAGGCACTGTATTGAAAATTTTCACTGTCTGGCCAGCTGGGCCGTGCGCATACATGACCAGTAAAGGTGAATAAGATTGTTCTTTGACATAAATGCTAATAACATATACATAAAACCAGTGCTAAGAAAATGTGGGCCAAAAGGCAGCCTTCATGATCTCCCAGAAATAAGGCAGAGGCTCTAATTACTGTGTAGCAACATTCAGTTCCAAGGAGCAGTGGCAGATATTGTGATATCAGCAAATTGTACAGAAATGAATCCCAGGAATATTCTTGGAATACTCTTGGGGGTAAAGGGTGGCCAGCACGTAGGGCTGACAACCTTGCCTCCATCTATGAGCCAATTGTCTAGAAAATGTGGGAACCTCAACATCTCACAACCCTATGGGCCTCCACAGCCTATTACAAGGATAGCTTTACTTTACTTTTTTTCCTACTTATCAGTAACACATCTATGCGCCATCAAATGACAGGATTGTTATGAATAATGTACCCGTAAAGTCAGCTGTATCTTGCCCAGCTGAGTTGGTTCTTTCTCTGAAATAGCCTGTGACCACCTTCATGTTCATCATGCCTCCTCTTATATACGCTTCTCTTTGCATGCCAGTGCACTTCAGAGCACTTGTTGAGCATTTTGGGTTTGTACTCAAAGCTGACACCTTCTCTGGCAATGCCAGGGTCCCTTGAAGTGACTAAACAAATGTTCTGTTGTATGAGGACTGTGAGGTGAGTGTGTAGGCCTCTGACTTGTCGTCTTGGCCGTTTTCTTTTGGTTTACTTACCTCCAGTGGATCCCTCTGATTGATACACAAACTTTCATAATGCCCTGCTGCTTGGGCTGATTACAATGGTTTCATTTTAATGTTTGTATTTTTAGTATTCAGTCAAAGAGAGTCTATGTTATTATGAATTGAAGAAGAATAAAATGCTCAAAAATATTGGACCAAAGGAAACAAGCCAAATTGCAGTGGTTACAGGATCCAAGCAAAATAAATGGGGATAATCTGAACAGTATAAGACGTGAAACCAGCAGACATTTCAGGAACAAAAAGAGGGAATATCTGAAAGACGAAATTGATGACCTTGCAATGAACAGTAAGAACAAGAACATTAGAGACCTGTATAGAGGAATAAATGACTTCAAGAGGGGTTACCAGCCTAGCAGTAACTTAGTGAAGGATGAGAATGTTGATCTGCTTGCAGGTTCCCACAACATTTTGAATAGGTGGAGGAACTATTTCTCTCAGTTATTGAATGTACATAGGGTCAGTGCTGTTAGGCAGAGAGAAATCCATACAGCTGAGCCGTTAGTACCTGATCCTAGCCCTTTTGAGGTTGAAAGTGCTATTGCAAAATTGAAACAGTATAAATCGCCAGGTAGTGATCAAATTCTGGCAGAACTGATTCAAGCAGGAGGCGAAATATTACATTCTAAGAGCCATGAGCTAATTAATTTTATTTGGAATAAGGAAAAATTTCCTGATCAGTGGAAGGAGTCTATTATTGTACCAGTTCACAAGAAGGGTGCTAAAACTGACTGTAGTAATTATCGGGGGATATCACTGCTATCAACTTCATACAAAATTGTATCCAATATTCTTCTATCCAGGTTAAGTCCATATATAGATGAAATTATTGGAGGTCATCAGTGTGGGTTTTGACATAACAGATCAACTACTGATCAGACCTTTTGCATTCATCAGATATTGGAAAAAAATGGGAGTACGATGAGACAGTACATCAGCTCTTCATAGGCTTCAAGAAATCCTATTACTCAGTTAGGGGGGAAGTATTGTACAATATTCTGATAGAGTTTGGGATACCCATGGAACTAGTTAGGCTGATTAAAATGTGTTTAAACAAAAAGTATAGTAAAGCCCATGTAGATAAATATTTGTCTGATTGGTCTAAAACAAGGAGATGCTTTATCACCACTCCTTTTCAACTTTGCCTTAGAATATGCCATTAGGAAGGTACAGGGAAACCAGGTGGGACTGACATTAAATGAGACACATCAGCTGTTAGTCTATGCTGATGATGTGAATCTACTGGGTGATAATATATATATACCCTAAAGAGAAAAACACAAACTCTAATTGACACTAATAAGGAGGTTGGTCTAGAAGTAAACACGGAGAAAACTAAGTACATGTTGCTGTCTCATCACCAAAATGCAGGGCAAAATCATAATATAAAGATAGGAAACAGATGTAAGTTTTGAGGTTTTCACGGCGATGACTATGAAGAAAGTCGTCTCCATATGAAACAGATGTTTTGAAAATGTGGCACAGTTCAGATATTTAGGAACAACGATAACGGATCGGAACCTGATTCAGGAGGAAATCAAGAGGAGACAGAACTCGGGTAATGCTTGCTACCATTCAGTTCAGAACCTTTTGTCTTCTCATCTGTTGTCCAAAAACGTAAAAATTAGAATATTATACAAAACTACTAGTATAATTTTGCCTGTGGGTTTGAAACTTGGTCTCTGACATTAAGGGAGGAACATAGACTGAGGGTGGAGGCACAATGGATCACTCTGGTCGTGGTGCAAGGACCAAGAAGGCCCACTCCTTATACATTCATTCATTAAACTGAGGGTGTTGAGAATATTTGGACCAAAGAGAGGTGAAGTGACAGTAGGTCAGAGAAAACTACATAACAAGGAACTTCATAAATTATACTCTTCTCCAAATATATTAGTATGATCAAGTCAAGAAGGATGAAATGGGCAGGGCATGTAGCACAAATGGGGGAGAAGAGGAATGCATATAGGTTAGTGGTGGGAAAGCCAGAAGGAAAGAGGCCAGTAGGAAGACCAAGATGTAGGTGGGTGGACAGTATTAAAATGGATCATAGAGAGAGAGAGGACAGGATGGTATGGATTAGATTGTACTGAGTCAGGATACTGATCAGTGGAGGGCTCTCATGTGCACAGTAATGAATCTTCGGGTTCTGTAAAATGCTTGGAAGTTCTTGAGTAGCTGCACAATTGGCAGCTTCTCAGGAAGGGCTCAGCTTCATGAGTGAGGGAGTGAATGAGTTATCTTGTTTTAAGCTCTTATTCGTTGTGATTTATTATACTACAGATGTGTAACCACACCAAACACAGTGGTTACATTTCTAAAAACATAATGGCCTGCTGTGTATATTGCAGCCTCATTGTTGTTTGTGTTATGTTCATTTGTTTATTACACACCCATTGGGCTCTATCTCTATAGTACCACACTATTTATGTTCTTGCTTTATTCCTTGATACACAGGGTGATTCCAAGTGGGGCGTCAGAAGAGCCCAGGGAAGAGAAAGGGTGTGTCATCACAGTTTGTTTACTATCCCCTGGACTTGTGTTCAAAATTATATAGAAAGAATATATCACGGCCTAATTTGAGGAGGGACTGAGGAAAGCCACTGACATTCAGGGCAGCCAGTGTCTAGGCCTGAATTTGAACCCACAACTTTGAGAATACAAAGGCGTTCTGGCAACTCAATCTTGACATTTAGTGTTGTTAAGAGGATTTTAAATATGTTGATGCATTATTATAAACAGAGGCTTTGTATGCCATTATAATACTTTATCATTCCATGTTCAGTGTTAGTGACTTAATTTTTAACTCAATTGGTCGTTTGTTCTCAATTCCAGGGAACCATGCTTGTGTTGCAGTCATTAACAACCACATACCAAAATCAGACATTGATTACTACACAGTGCCGCAGGGTTTAGAAACAGAGCCGAAGCTTCCAGCAATTCTTGCAGCACCTCTGCATAAGTTCGTGATGCAGGTGAGCTTGTAACTTTCATCTTGTAACAGAAAGGGTAGTACTCTATGTGCCTAAGCACAGCGCCATGTTTATGAATGGAGGAACGGTGATCAGGGTGGTTTTCCCCGCAGAGGAAGAGCCTTCAGGATCCATGATGAGGTAAACACAGGGGTCACAATGTATACATCCATGTTTCATCACCAGAACACAGGACACATTAATGTTGTGAAGTCAGCTGACAGATCCTTCGAAAATGTGGCACAATTCAGATATTTTGGAACAACAGCAACAAATCTAATTTGCTTGCACTGTAATCAATGAAGGGCTGGGTGAGGACACAGTGAATCAGAATCATATTCATAGAGCAATTATATGAGATTCCTGCTGTTCAGTGCAGAATGTTCTGTCTGCCCATCTCCTCCTGAGAAATCAGAAGATACGATATGGAGTGTGAGATTTGAGGGTTACGTGGTGGTTACTGCATACTATCTCTGCCCGGAAGATGGACGCATTCATTCTTTCAATTCCTGTAGCACCGTCTGGAGCATCCATGAAACTCCTCCATCTGGTCCAGTTGGCTGCCAGTCTTTTTACTTTACTCCATGTTCTGCCTGCTTCTATGGTTTCTTCCTCCAAGTTTTCCTGGCATGACCACATCCATGAGCACCCTGGGGGTTTCAGTCCAGTGCAGCCTATTCAACCACTCCAATATATTTCCTCAAAATGTGACTGATGCAATTCCACTTTCTTTTCTTCATCTGAACATCAATTGGCTGTTGATTTGTTACTGTCCAGGGGTCTTCATTTGAGATAGTTTTCGCCCATCTTATGTTTATGATTCGGCATAATCATCTATTAATAAAACTCTGCAGCATATCAGTGAGGTGCTTTGTGACCCACCGTGTCTCACATGCATAAAGGAATACTGACTTCACATTCACATTGAAGATGCAGACTTTAGCCTTCTTGGAAATATATTTATTTCTCCAGATTGGATATAATTGGATAAAGGCCCCATTTGTCTTTTCTTATTCAATTTTTAACGTCTTCATCTGCGCCTTGTTTCTTGGATACAGTACTTCCAAAATAAGAGGTCTCTACTTGCTCAATTTCTTGTTTACAAACTGTTAGCCTCCATTATATTTTATTGTTTACCCTCAGTTCTTTAGTCTTATTTACATTAATATCTAGCCTCGCTCTCTTCGCTTCTTCTGGCAGATTTGTTAATATTTCTTCCATATCCTGGAACCTCTAGGACATCAAACAGATAAAGCAAAATAAAAAAAGTAAAGGTATCCCTGTAACAGGGCATGAAGGCCCGTAGGGTTGTGAGACGTTGAGGGTCCCACATTATCTAGACAATCAGCTCACAGATGGCGGTAAGGTTGTCAGCCTTACGTGCCGGCCACGCTGGTTTGTTGTTCCTAGAGAGACATTTCACTGATAATTTTCTCATAATATTATACAAATCTTTANGAACGCGAGCGTTACGCCACCGCCACGCACCGCTGGGGAGGTAGGGGTCAACATGTCACAATATCTACTTTCTTTTGTGCTTCCTTTGCCTTTGGTGCTAAGTCATCTACCCACTGTCTCATGTCTTTTCTCAAACTTTTCTTTACTCTCTTGTCAATTTCTGTGTATTCTGCTTGTGCTTTAGATTTTTGCCGATAAGTTCTACATTGGTTTAAGCAGCTCTTGGCCTTTTTTCTGTTTTCAACCTCCACTCCCTCTGTAGCCTAATTCTATAAAACCAAGTATTTTTTCGTAGGTGTTTAAATAACTTTCTTTAACATCCTTCCATGCTGATTCAACATCTGTTTCTGAAGAGTGTGAGAGAGCTGAGAAGCGATTTTTTAATTCCAATTTAAATTCTTTTTGTTTTCTTTTTTCTTTAAATTTTTTAATATTGAATCTTCTCCCTCTGGTTTCAAATTTTTCCCTAGCTGCCATTATTTTAAGTTGAAAGTTTTGCAACCACTAGATGGTGGTTGCTACCAACATCCGCTCCTCTTCTGTTTCTTACATTTGTTACTGATCTAAACTTCCTGGTTATTGCTATGTGGTCTATTTGGTTTTTGGTGCTATGATCTGGGGATATCCATCCATGTGACTTTGTTGTATTTTTTTGTATAAACAGTGACCCCCCCCATTACTAAATCATAACTAGCACACAGATTAACAAAGAACTCTCTCAAATTCCATGTTGTCCCATAATATTCCTCCTTTGTTGGATCCTATTTTGGCATTTGTATCCCCCATCATCATAATTATGTCTCTTTTCCCTACTTGCCTGATACTATCACTCAACTGTTGGTAGTATTCTTCTTTCTTTGTTTTTTCTGTTGCCTCTGTTGGTTCATAGCATTGAATTAATATCACATTTTCAATATGGGTCTTAAAACGTGCTGTCAGTATTCTTTCTGAAACGGGTTTCCACTCCATGAGGCTATTATTTCCATGCTTTGTTATCACTAGGGCCCGGATTTCTATGACATGTCATATTTTTTTCCTAGGGTTTATTCCTATTTTTAAATGTAATTATGCATGTTTCCAGTCATTCTTATTGAAATTATGTCGTTTTTATTGTGCATATAAATGCATATTTTAGAGTTTTATTGGTTTTACAGCATATTTTGGCATAATTTTGAAATAAGGTCATATTTTTGTCATTTTAGAAACAATTCTTTGATATAATGTAAAGTTTCGGCTCCATAATGTTTAGTATTACAAAATAAATTTCAGGCTGGACTGTTGCTTCAATGTGGAATAGAGTTCAAGTACATGAAGTTCGTATTAAAAACCATATTTTTGACTGGACTGTACTTGCAGTTACAAAGGCGAAAATTTGTGAAATGCAGCATTTATGACCTGGCAAGCCGGCCTTTCCCAGTCGAGGCAGGAGGGAGGCAAGTGTAACGGGTATTCTCCTATTGTACTCCGTCTTACTATAAGGTATATACATCCCATTCTTTCTTGGAGGGCTTAGAAGTATTCTATTTAGATGTGGAGGGCGTTATAAGACTTCAGTTTGACTTTACAATGCCTAAAGTGAGTACATGTAGTTCAAGGAGCGCAAAGTTGCGTAGTTTTGTACAGGAGTTTGGTGAAAAAGTGTTTAGTACCGATGGCAAGATATTTTATTGTAAGTTGTGTGGCGTGAAAGTTACGGCAGAAAAGCGATTTACTGTGCAGCAGCATTGTAAAACTTTTAAACATGGTAAATGTTTAAGCAGATTATCTACAAAGGATAGCAGACAAAGTTTGTTGTTTAAAAACAGTTCTACTACTTCTTCTTCTTCTTCTTCTTCTTCTGCTTCACCTTCTTCAATGAACAATGGGTCGGAATTTTCGAAGGATTTGTGTCAGTGGATGGTATCTTCGAATATTCCATTAGAGAAATTGCATAATCAGCACTTCAGACAATTTTTGGAGACATACACTAGTCATCCTATCCCAAGTGAATCGACGTTAAGAAAGAATTATCTCTCTACATGTTATGAAGATATGTTAAATAAGATTCGAACATCTGTTGCTGACAACAAGATATGGGTTTCCTTGGACGAGACTTCTGACGTAGATGGGCGGTATATTGCGAATGTTATAGTTGGGACCCTGAAACAAGATCAACCTGGAGAGAGATTTCTTCTTGACTGTGAAGTTCTCGAAAGAGCAAATCATTCGACTATAGCTGTCCTATTTGATAATTCCATGAAGTTGTTGTGGCCAAATGGAATACAGCGAAATAATGTCCTTCTCCTAGTAACAGATGCCGCTCCATACATGAAGAAGGCTGCCAAAGGACTTCGAATCCTCTACCCGAAAATGGTCCATATTACTTGCCTCGCTCATGCATTGCATAGAGTGGCTGAAGAAGTTCGAGGACATTTTCCTGATGTAGATAGGCTAGTTTCAAACGGAAAGAAAATATTCATCAAGGCCCCTCTTCGAGTGCAGAAATTTAAACAAGAAGCTCCTCTACTGCCACTTCCTCCACAGCCTGTCGTCACACGGTGGGGTACATGGTTGGATGCTGTGGCATATTATTGTGAAAATTACACAGCCATTGAGAAAATGTTTAATGGCTTTGACAGCAGTGAGTCAACATCAATTAAAGCTGTCAAGGACTTATTCTCTACCACTCTAGCACAAAATCTGGCATACATAAAGTCAAACTTCTGTTCAATTTCAGGTGCAATAACTCGCCTGGAATTTGTAGGGACTGAACTCTGTGACGCGTTGGACACTGTAAAGAGCATTGAGAATGAACTAAACCGAACTCGTGGTGAAATAAGTGACAGGATTAAAACCAAAATAGAAAGTGTTCTTCATCGGAATGCTGGTTATTCAACATTATGCAAGATTGCAGATATACTTTCCGGTAAACTAGCAACATTCGAAGATGATACAGAACTGTCACCAAACGACTTGACATTCTTCAAATATGCTCCTGTCACATCATGTGATGTGGAACGAAGTTTTTCCAAATACAAAACTATCCTTAGTGATAATCGGCAATCTTTCAAATTTGAAAATTTGAAAATGCATGTAGTTATAAATTGCAATTTTAACAGTGAAAATTGATACGTGAATAACTCAGTGAATATTGAGACGTGAAGAGCTTGTGTTCTTTTAAATGGTGTTTTTAGATAACAGAGTTAAGTTAGTGTTCATACCATGTGCACCAGTGTTTGTCTAAAATATGAACGCAAATATCAGTATTAAAAAGAAAACAATGAATGGTTTAATCCAGTACGAAATGTCGAAATTCCATTAGTTTTCTTTCCTTCAGAGACATAATAGGGCTAATTTGGTAAGTAGGACCAACTATCATATATTCATCATCTTTATTCTTAAACTCTAGTAAAAGTTGTAATTAAAATTGTGAAATGTTATGTCCCATTTAACATTTAAGGTCATATTTTACACTTTTTAGGTCATATTTGACATAATTTTGGGTCATAAGTGCATGCATATATTTATAATTTTTAGGTCATAAAAATCCGGGCCCTAGTTATCGGTAATCCTACTCCATTTCTGTGTTCAGCATTTTCCTCTGTTGCACCAGAAAAGACGAAAATAAATCCATTTCGTACTGTCATTTCCCGAAAGTCTAACCATCTCGGTTCACAGATTCCAAGAGAGTGTCCATTACTTTAATCAATTCTCATGGTTCTGACATTCCAGAAGCCAATTTTGGTTTTATTTTCCATGCCAAATGTCAACATTTTTCCTTTACAGTTTTGTTTCACCTCAGTTTCTTTAATTGATTTAAGAGTATACATGTTATTAGCCCACATAACCGATCTTGCCGCCTGTAGCTTCCAAGCAAGCTGATCTTCATTAGGTTTACTCTCTTAGCCTCTGAAGGTCCTCCACCTCACTGCAAGGCAGCAGTTCTCTCATAATTACCCCAAGAGAGAATGGGTTGCCGCTCCCACTATACCACAGGACTCCTTCTCTGCCGAAAGTATTGTGGTTTTTGCTGTAACTGTAGTAGGTGGGCCTCACATGGTGCTATCAGCCAGAGCCAGCTGAACCAAGGGATTTTGAAGAGGTGTTACTCCTCTATCACTCCCTGTTTTGTACTGGATTGTGACTTTTAGGTCCAGGTTGGCTGGCTTGAAGATGGACACGGCTTCTCCAAAAGTCAGAAAATTCTGCTGAAACATATGCGGTCACATCCCAGAATGCAGTTTTCTTCAAAATATGCAAAACAATAATTTTACCTGTTCTGTATCCATTTGACATGTGATTTCGCAGCCAAAAAGAAAGAACATTTGTTGATGGTTTCAGAACAGGGAGCTGAGGGGAATGAGCTGGGCCTGAGAGGAAAGAAATGGCAGGAGAATGGAGAGAATTTGCATGAGGAGGAGATTCATAATTTGACCTCTGACTACAGAAATGAAAGTAAGGTGTGTGCATTTAGCACACAGCGATATGAGTAATGCAAGTGAAGTGTTAGTTGGAAGCTTGAAGGGAAGAGATTACTTAGGATCCCTTGCTAACATGGTGTTGAACCTTAGTGAACCTAAAAGGCACAGAATTTTTTTATTGAATTATTTTCTCCCTTATATGATATATTCCAGACAAAGTATTAACTCTTTGACTGGCGCGAAGGGTATTTAAATCCCACCCCTGCCCTGGCAGGCCGTTTAAACCTTATGTCGCTAAAATGCATGTTGTTACTTTTTCCTAAACAACTTCAACAAAAATTGGTTTTTAAAAACGAAATTTTTAGGAACTAATTAAAATACAATATTTTATGCAATAAATGCTTTTCCACACCTCTTTATTTGTTTTTCTTCGTGTGATAAACATTGAAACATGAAAGTTTGCAGAGAGCCACACCACAGCCTGCACACATGATACTTGTTTCTTTTCTAACCTTGTGCTTAGCACTCACGCGACACTTTCTCAGGGCACCATTCTTCTTATTGTTACTGTTAGGAACATGGACCATTTTGTGAATTTTCAAGCCACCCTCTAGACGATTTGCTGGCTCTTTCACTGGTGGTCTTTTCAAGGTCGAGGGCGGAGGCGTGACTGCACTCTAGTCTGACGCAATAGATTCGTCATCCACTTCATTCCTTGACTTTTCTCCCTCTCCACACTGTTTGTTTGGTTCAGTCATTTTTCTACACAGTCCAATATAAAATCTTTGAATCTGTAATTTCTCTTCTTGTATTTTTCGTTTGTTGTGTTCTTTTTGAATAGAATGAAACTATTCAACCGCAAAGACATGTTTTGTCCATACCATGGGTGTGAAATAGGGGCCTAGTGGACAAATATTCTTCAATTTCAGGGCGTTTGTCGATTCCTGTCATGAACACAATTCCTAAGTATGTCCAGATTTCATCTGATGTGACATAATTGTAATTGTGTTTTCGAGAGTGAGGAGCTAACTCATGTGTGTTGAAGTGCTGGTGAGCATAGCGATTGGTTTCAGTTGTGATGTGATTTACCAAGTCGTCATCCAGAAAAAATTTTAATCCATGAAAAGGGATGCATTTTATGTGTTATATCAATTTTGATCCCGAAACTATTAGCAAATGGAAATATTGGGGGTACAATGTCTCCGTACGTTCATGAGATGGGCGTGTCAGGCACCGCACTCGTGGTAGGTAAATGTTCATGATTACTGTCTTGTGGATCATTGTCTATCACTGTATTATTGTCACTATCAACTTCATCCAATTCAGGAATCATTAATTCATCGCCACTATCATCATCAGAACAAATCTCGTTCACAACATTTTCCAGCTGGTCTGTAGGAACACGAAGACACTTGCTGCAAGAAGCCATGGTGAAACTGAATGAATGTGAAATATTTTCTGACCTTTTCCTTCTCAGAGGGTTCTGACAGTAATATAGACCCCCACAAAGTTTACAAGGGTTCTTTACAAACATGCACAAAAACTATCATATATATGTCTTTGGTTGATGAGTGCCAAGAGAGCAAAGAAGGGAAGAGATTGTCAAAGCGTTAAAACACGCCAACGCCAGGGAACGGGTGGCATTGTCCGGGCGTTAAAACACGCCCGCGCCAGTCAAAGAGTTAATTTCTTCCAGTTTCCTATCATGAATTCTTATCTTACTTCTTACTACTTACTACTAATACTTGGTATTATTCCTCTAAAACCATAATTTTAATTTTTTCTCAATATCTGTATTCATGGTAATTTCTGCATCTATTATTCCACTTGTATACTGACTACTGTAGATCATGTTCACATTTAGCCAGAATGATCTTGAGCATAATATTACATAGTTTCTTTTGTGCAGTTTGGACTTGATGAAAAGGAAGTTGAAATAGTAACTGTGTAGCATAACCAGCCTCTTTTTTCATGTCGCAATCATTGCACTTGCTGTTACGACACTGATGCCGAATGCAGTCTTCTAGGATGTGATGCCGTGTAGTCTGGCAGAAGTTCACTGATGTTTCAGAGGAATGTCCTGCCTCTGTCTTCAGGGTTGAAGAGCAAGCAAAGTTCCAGATCATGCCAGATGCTGTTGCTAAGTTGCTCTTTGATGTTGAAGGTGGACACAGTATATGGGTGAGCCTCTGCCAGACTGCAGGATGTCATTGCAGTAAGAGCCTCGCATCAAACAGACCCTCAGGTGACCCTGAGAATGGTGTGCAAGGGGGGCCTGCAGCTTAATGCGGGAGGGTGGGTGGTTGGCAGTGTTCTCATTGCCATAGTTTTATTTGTGGTAGAAGTCCACACTTCAATCTGTGAGCACCACCCTGAAGAAGGAAGAAGCAGGTTTGTTTAAAATGTAGGTACCTGTCTACCAGACTACATGGTGCCACATCCCAAAAGATGGTGTTCCATGGGACACAGTTGCAAAGTCAGCGATATCTTGCACCATGAAATGTTCTGCCACTCTGGCCGGTTCAGTTCCTAAGAGATTTTCTTTCCAACAGGTGAACATACATCCCGTTCGTGTAGCTCTTAATCTACAGAAGTTGCCATTATTGGGAGAGAATTTGGACAAAGTACAAAGGGTGCTGGATCTGATGAGCGAACGGGAAATGAAACGAGGCATAGAAACAAATGAAGTAATGGCCTTCAAATTTCATTATCTGGCATTTGTTGTGGCAGAAGTATCGTGCTGCCGAAAGAGGCAACTGGCTGCTCAGCAGGAGAGGAAGAAGGATGCACAGGAAGAAGCTGAAGGTGATAAAAAGGAAGGAGAAGAGAGACGATCAGACCCAATGGAGTTGTTTGCTAGGAAGATGCTTAAATGTGGGCGCAGTGGGGATGGGACCACGCCTGAGTTTCAAGAGAGCTTCTTGCGGGAGTGTGTGAGGGAGTTCCCTTACCGCGAATGCACCGTGTTCAGGCAGATGGTGACAAGTCTGGCACAGCCAGACTCGGCTCAGGCCCTGAGTATTATTGCCGCAGCTATAAACGGGCAGCGAAGTTTTGCAGACGCCTCTGCCACGTACTGTTCAACATGCGGAGAAGAAGGGGCTCCCAAGAAGTGTTCGAAGTGCAAGGCAGTGCAATACTGCGATCGGGAGTGCCAGCGCTTACACTGGTTCATGCATAAGAAGGCGTGTGCACGATTATCACAAGCACCTAGCAAGGCTCACTTGGTACCAACTTCGAAAATGCAACACCTTAAAGTCAATTGAAATCAAAATGTCACATATGACTGGCATGTTCATAACTAACCACTGTTATTTCAAGATTTCAAATATAAGTGTTTTTAAATGTCCCCTTTCTTTTTGTCATTGATTATGTAAGGTTTTTGGGGGAGAGTGTCCAGAAATCAGTCACACTGAGATATTCAAATTGTGGTCTTATGGATTGTGACATCATGTAGTCTTGCAGGTGGTTAGCAAGGTTTTGGAGAAACATATTTCCCTTGGATCAACCATGACAGAATGTTACAGTCTTGAATTTGTGAGCAGTATATGCCTCCAAAACAGTGGTACTTACCTACGAGACCAGTTTTGTAACTGAGAAGATTGTAGAATGGATATTCCATGCTATGTAGATATTGGACTTTATGTGAGGTCTTGACTTTCATGAAGTAAAGATGTGACACTACTTCACACTAAAGCAACGTGTTATTTTGCAATAAGATGCCCCCCTACACTTAGGCTTTTGCCTGCCCCTAGGTCATGTATCTTAATTTCGTGAAGCCAAGTTGTCATATTCCCTGTAAAGCCTGTGTTGCTCTCCTGGCTGACGGAAATGTTACCACTGCTTTCTTATTGTGATCTGTTTAACCACAGTGCAGTCATTACATTTGCTGTGGAGCATTCAGGAAAGTTGTGGTTTAAAATTTTATATTGTACTCGTAAGCATATCCAAGCCATTGTGTGGATATGTTTGATGTAATGTAGAGACACAATAAAAATAATTACGCAAGATATTCATGCTGCTCAGTTTTCTGTTTTCACATTGTGCTTAAAAACAAACTTGTAATATGTGTAAAAATGTAACTTTCATATAATCGTATGTTTCCTGTTTTGTCCATGGAACTAACAGGGGATACCCAAAGACACTATGGAATTTATACTCTTGCCAATATGTATGGTAGTCATAGGTGTTAGAGTGATGTTCAAGTGTTGCAGTAGAGTTTTTTGGTGCTGTTCAAATCCTCATTCCCAGTTTTATTTTTTAATCATACAAGTAAACTTTACATCCAGGATAACAACTGGCTACAGGCTGGATGACTGAGGGGTTGGGGTTCGAGTCCCAGTAGGGTCAGCAATTTTTTTCTTCTCTACATCAATACCAGACCAGCTCTGGGGTCTACCCAACCTCCTATCCAATGGGTGCCAGGGGGTCCTCCCCCGCGGTAAAGCGGCCGGGGCGTGAAGCTGACCACTCACCTCCAGCTAGTGCCAAGGTCAAGAAAATGTGGATCTATACATCCACTCCCCCATACACATTCATGGCATAGTGCTTAACTAGTGCTTAACTTACTTTTTACAAGTAAACGTTTCTAAATTTGGGCATTATTCCTCATGTAAGGTTTTATCTACCATATATTGTTGTAGTGACAAGGAAAGCAGTAATATTCCAGGTGAAGAACGGTTACTTCTGCTTGTTTAAAATAATTTCCACCCCCTTCCTTTCTGCATCCAACTTTGAACAGTTTAATCAACTTTTCTTCATATCCATGTGTTTCTGTATCACAGCATAGTGATTAGGACTCCTTGGGCAACCACCAGGCTTATATCTTGGTTTGGTGAAAAGTGATCTTGTGTTTTGTTTATTTTTTCTAAGCAGATATCTGACACATCCCTGCCAGGAAGTGAACACTTAGCTAGTGGCCAAAAGGAGAGACTGTAATGAAACTGGTAAATATTCATGTTATTAACAAGAGCAGCATAAAATTTACCCATGTGATTATGAGATAAACAGAATCTGTTGAAATTTATCTAGGCTAAATAATATTTATAAAGTTAGTTCCTCCATTACAGAAAGCATTCAGCACCATTACAAAGACCAGTCAGTGCTATTCAGGGAAATAGTTACTGATTTTGTGAGAACTACATGAAACGCATAAATGGAATAGTTTAGCAGCGTACAGAGCTACCACTGTTTCTGTGGGTGACTATTTGACGGTGTTAGTATCTATGTAGCATCATATGGTGGGATGACTGCTGACCTATTAATTCAGAAGGAAGCAGTCATAGACTAATAGATCAGACATTTGCCGGGAGAGACTGAGGAAAAGTATGAAAGACCGGTTAGGATAGCCTGTGACCCTGTTGAGGAGCTACAGTGTTACTGCTAGATCATTTTGGGCTCTGAGGTGATAAACCAGGCCGCCTCTGCAGTACTTGGTGGGGCAAGCTGCCGGTCGCCAAACTGCGCATGTTCCTTTGAGCGGCCTTTGTAATGGCCGGGTTGACGTTAACAGTGGGACCGCGAATATTGTATAAACACCCAGAAGAGGGTCTGTGTTTGGGTTTGGACAGGAAGTCACAGACAGCACGACCCGACCCCAAGCGGCACTTTCAATGGGATTCCTGTTGCAGCCGATGTGTGAAAACTGGCGGCAAGCCCCCTCCCCCGTAAACAGTAGCCCGACTCTGTTTATTGCTTGCTGTTGGCACGCCGAGCCTCAGAGAGGTCAATAGGTGGGATGTTGAGAAGACCTTGCGACAGACTGGTCAATAGGTGGGGTGTTGAGAAGGCCTTGCGACAGACTGATCCCTAATAATGTATTTAAATAAAGACTGCGGAACCCGGAGAGTGGGAGACCTCGGACAGTATTGTTCAGTCTCGCCATGCAGAGTTGCAGAGTTTTAAGAGGAGCGGGCTGCCTTCGTTTTTAAGGTTTTCACCCACATGGCTGAGTCTTCTGCCTTGAAGATGGAGGCAATAGATTCTACAACAACGACGCTGCGTCACATCTCAGAAGACGGTAAGCGTCTAACGGCCGGCAGGGCAGACTGCGTCCTGAAACTGCAGTAAGCCTTGGTCAGATGACTGCAACAGGGCTCATGTCTGCGCTGTTCGCTGTTTTGACAAATATTCTGAAACCGGCCTGTAGTTTCGTCGTATTTGTCCGTCCGCTTATTACAGCGCCTAAGCTGTAGGACATATTTAATTGAGCGTGTCTGTGAACCACCCTCACTGAACTTTTTTGAACTATTTTCAGTCTGGATTAATTTGGTTCATGTGGCTAAGGATGATTCCCAGCGCTGAGTTGTGAACCCGTTGGTGAATGTTTATTTCGAAAACAGCCAACCACTGGACCCTGTCTTGAGCCAATTGAATCCAGTCCACATCTTCACACTGTGTTTTTCATTAGTATCCTCATTTGCGCTTAGGTTTTCTAAGAGGTTTCTTCCTATGTTATAATCAAGAACGTTGAAGATTCCTATCTTTGGAATGCGAAGTCGTGTAGTGCTGTAATTCACTGACGTTTCGGAGGAACATATGCCTTCGGCAACTTGCTCCTTGCCTCCTACTCGTTGCTTTCTTAGCATTTATTGTGCCTGGAAGACGGAGACAGTATGTTCCTACAGAACATCGGCAGACTTTTGCCGGACTACACGGCGTCACATCCCACAAGACAGACTTTTCGTAGTCATAAGAACTCCAAACCCAGTACAGAAGCCCTAAACAGCTCAATACGTGCGCCATATTACTTTCACACTGATTGAGGTCCGCGTCAGACCCGCGGTCCACTGTGTTCCAACGCCTCAGCCTGCAGTCGGGCGCTGACACAGCGGTAAGGCTGACTTTTATTCTGGACGTGCTCGGTTCGAATCTTGTTCAGGACACCGGTTATCCCAACAAGTTTCTCGAGGTTCTACTCAGTCCCTGCTGCCAGTGGCTTTAGTCTGAGCAACTGACGGTGTCGTGAACTGCAGTACAGAGGCAGAGCTAGGTCCACCCCTGAGCAGATGATAAGGAACCGAATTTGCAAACTCCTGGTCGAATTTCCCAGCTAACATACATAGGCTGAGGCCTCTAAGGGGCCATGCGTCCTGGTTCCAAGGGAAAAGGGCAGATCGTTATATCGTGTTTACAAAACGTATGTCCTCCACATTAGTTAGGTTTTTTGTGGGTGGGAGGAGGTGAGGACCTATATATCGATAGATGGCGTTCTTTACATGGAAATACTTGTCTCGTTTTGAGCCACGTGATCTTCGTACGCTGATTCGTGGATTCGGGTGGAACGGTGATGAGCGGTTGTAAAGCGGGCCGCACTCGGCACAAGTTTAATTAATTTCATTGCAGTACTGGATATCTCTTGCGTCTCTGTCAGTCTCGCTAAAAAGAAACACACAAACCTTCATACAGTCAGAAATGAGCCCAACGTTCGTCACACAGATTAAACACTGAACTGCCTAATCCAAAATCTGTGAAGTTAAAGGCCTTTTGTTTTGGTAGCTCACGCTGTACGTATATTGTAAAGTGGTAAAGAAAATAAGTAAAGTAAAGCTATCCCTGCAACAGGTCGTGGAGGCCCTTAGAGTTGTGAGATGTTGAGGTTCCCACATTTTGTAGACAGTCGGCTCATAGGTGGCGGAAAGGTTGTCAGCCCTAAACGTCGGCCGCCCTTTACCCCCAAGAACATTCCTGGTACTCATTTCTGTTAGAGGTTAGGGCCATAGTGCGGCTGGAAGGATTAGGTCAATTGAAAAAATCCAATGATCTCATCGGATTCGATCCCGCTACCTTCCAGCTTGTAGCATAGTGCTTCAACCAACTACGCTACCGCGTGCCCTGCGTAAAGTGGTACTATGTTTAATAAATAAATTAGGCAGAATGTAGAAGGAAGTTGTCGTGGATTATTGCAAGTTACTATCCCAGTATTATTCTTTAGTGGACTGAAGAAAACCAGGAAAACGTCCGCATAGTCAGTGTCCCAACAGAGATGCGAACAGCCACCTCCCTCCGAATACTAGCAAGAAAACCTACCCACTGAGCCAAGTGGTAAGTCACTGATCTAATTGATCGTATTTTAACGGAACCTGCAGCACCGTATCAGTTTTTGCAAATGAGTAAGCCCTTGTCACGTGTCCGCCTTATTGTATCTCGGGTTGTGCTTCTGTGCATATTGTAACCTCGCAGTGTTGTCAAAACATAACAATTACTGGCTGTTTATATGAAGTTCCCCCATTTGCCCCTTGAATGTTCGGGTCCGACTACCAAGCTGCGGGCTTGATGACCTAGAAATCGGGGTTCTGTTCCCGGCAAGAGCAAGATGTTCCTTCCTTCTCCACAGCGTCCAGACCAGCTCTAGGGCTCACCCAGCCCCCTATCTAGTCGTTACACCGGGGGTTCTTCTGAGTTAAAACTGCAGGTGTATAAAGCTGACCACTGTGATCAAGTGCAGAGAATAGGGATGCCTGAAGCTTTACCTCCACTTCCCTATACGTCTTCACGACGTGGCGCTTAATTAAACATATGGACAGCTTTACAATAAAAAAAATGAGTTGTGTCGTGTGGGATATAACGGCGTGTAGTCCGTTGGAAGTCAACGGACGTTTCGGGGGAGCATGGAGCCTCCGTCTTCAGGTTCGAAGAAAAATCCAAGC